TAGAATGCTACTACTGGAGCAGGGAACAACTTGATTGGGAAGGTCGACCAATCAACGACCTAATGGTCTAAACTGAAAAATTTACTTGAGCTAAAACTATTTATATCTTTTAATTTCTTGAGTTATCTTAGTTGTAATTGTTGATGGATTCCTGACGTGGATATTGAAATTAATTGCTAGAGTGTATTTAGTAGTAGTAGTAGTAGTAGTAGTAGTAGTAGTAGTAGTAGTAGTAGTAGTAGTAGTAGTAGTAGTGTAGGTTTTAGGACAATTTTCGAAGGGTTTTCACCCCTCAGTTTTCATCTGGCACAAAATTGAACTTTTTTAGGGTGTTGCAGGTTCTACAAGTGCATAGCATTAGCCATGCGCATGAGTTAATCTTGTCAGAAGTTTCTCGGAAGAACGTTTGGTATAGCTCTGTGATTACAATTTTTTCGATTACCCCATCTGTTTTCACATTCTTTTCTACAATGTTCAGTAGTCTAGGAGCTTACCTCCAGAAGTTTTATCGCATTTTCTTAAGCGGGGTCGGGACACGCTGAACTAAGCTTGTTGACGGGTTGAACCTCTACGAGTGGATACTGCATAATGTATAATCGGATGCGTAGTTTTCTTGTGGCACTGAAATGTAGTAAAACACATCATGCAGTTCTATGAACATGGATAGCTGCAGGACTTTTGTACGGAACAGTCTCTCTTTGTGGTCCATGAAGTCGCTCTTTCTGATTTTCTTAGATCTTTTCAATATCTGTTTTTGAGGGTTACCATACCTGTGATGGTGTGGTTTCCTTATTGACTTGTGATTTCCTTATTGTCCAGTTTAAGCTGTCCAGTTTGAGATGTCCTTATTGTCCATTTTATTGTCAATTTCAAGCTTAAGAACGGCAGACTTAATTTGTTTGGACCCGTGTTGAGATCGGTGAAGTTATGGTTCTATATGGGGGTTTATTCGGATCTGCTTTATCTCTTCTTCCGTCAATAGCTTGAAGACAAAGTCTAACTTTTCGTAGTTGTGGGGAGTACTTTCACCTCCTTGTGAAAATAAATTCGAGAAGAACACATTGAAGAGTTCACACTTCTGCTGGTCGTTACATGCTATTTTTTTAATTCTCATCCTTCAGGTACATTTCGTCTGGGAACTGCTTATTCTTATCTAAAAACAAAGTGTTCCTGCAGTGAAGACCTACTTTGCTTGCAAATACTTTCTCTTCAAATAGTCGTTTAAGATTCCATGGGCATGTTTTTTCTTCTGGCTCATAATTTTAATAGGAAGCGTCAGTTGTATGTAGTCAGTTGCTATTTGCCTCAGTCGCTGTCTCGACTGTCCTCCAATCACCGTCCAGTTTTTGAAGCTTTGGACACTGTATTTGAAAGTTCTTCAAGCTGACATTGTCGTTCTGGATGGCGTCTCCATTTGAGACCATATATTCTCCATTGTTTGTTCGTCGGGGTCTAATTTTTTACCGAGATACACTCGTTTTGTGTATAAAAGACTGCTAGCCAAATCGTTTCACGTCCTCTATGACGCAGTGAATTTCTTGAAACGTGGTGATCTTCTATATTTCTTCTATATCGTTTTCGAGTCATTCGCGGACGTTCTCACGTCTTGTTTCAGGTGTTCGTCCAATGTTGATTTCATTTATAGTTCGTTTCATTGGGTGTTTTCGGGGTTTTTTTTTCCATCGATGTCTTTTTTTTCATCGATGTTCTCCTTTATTTTGTTTTTGTTTTCTTGAAGCTGCTTTTTGCTGGTCGTTTGGTTTTCAATGTTTCTTTGTCGGCGATTTGAATGAAATCAGTGGTTTCAGAGGTGGAGCACGTGCTTGCTGATCTGGATTCCGTAAATTGCTCGTGACAACCCGACGCACGCATTATTTTAACGAGTTATGTTGAGATATGGCGGTTTTTAGGCTGACCCATCTAAAATTTACTTGAGTTCCCAGCCCTGTTTTTAACGGCGCTCGCGTGTTCTAGGTATTTAGAGACCTAGCCATGCTCATTTCTAGAGTAGGGGGCATTTTGGTAGTAGCCTTCAAGCAGTAGCTTGATCTTGATGTCCAATGTTTCAAGCAAACCGAAGTGGCTCTGACAGAGTGAGGTGAAAAAACGGAAGAAGTAGTGTTCCTCACCTTCGAGCCAATGGTTAAAGGGCCTATGTCTCTAAAACTTATACGTAAGCGGATGACTGTGCATTTCAGAAGAACCGAGTTCATGATTGCCGGAAGGTGAACCAAAAATTGGAGTTATATTCAAATAGCTATGCGCAACTTAGTTGAGTAGAGCGGGCATGTTCCCGATAGAAAACTACTACTGGAGCAGGGAACAACTTGATTGGGAAGCTCGACCAATCAACGACCTAATGGTTCAAACTGAAAAATTTACCGTCCAGTTTTTGAAGCTTTGGACGCCGTATTTGAAGGTCCTTCAAGCTGACATTGTCGTTCTGGATGGCGTCTCCATTTGAGAGCAATATTCTGCATTTTTTGTTCGCCGGGGTCTAATTTTTTACCGAGATACACTCGTTTCGTGTATGAAGGACTATTAGCCAATTTGTTTCACGTCCTCTATGACGCAGTCAATTTCTTGAAACTTGGTGATCTTCCATATCTCTTCTATATTGTTTTTGAGTCTTTCGCGGGCGTTCTCACCTCTTGTAACCAAAAAATGGAGCTATAATTAAATTGCTATGCGCAATTTGAACAATTATCATTCTAGTTGAGTAGAGCTCGCATGTTCCCAATAGAATGCTACTACTGGAGCAGGGAACAACTTGATTGGGAAGGTCGACCAATCAACGACCTAATGGTCTAAACTGAAAAATTTACTTGAGCTAAAACTATTTATATCTTTTAATTTCTTGAGTTATCTTAGTTGTAATTGTTGATGGATTCCTGACGTGGATATTGAAATTAATTGCTAGAGTGTATTTAGTAGTAGTAGTAGTAGTAGTAGTAGTAGTAGTAGTAGTAGTAGTAGTAGTAGTAGTAGTAGTAGTGTAGGTTTTAGGACAATTTTCGAAGGGTTTTCACCCCTCAGTTTTCATCTGGCACAAAATTGAACTTTTTTAGGGTGTTGCAGGTTCTACAAGTGTAGGGGGCATTTTGGTAGTAGCCTTCAAGCAGTAGCTTGATCTTGATGTCCAATGTTTCAAGCAAACCGAAGTGGCTCTGACAGAGTGAGGTGAAAAAACGGAAGAAGTAGTGTTCCTCACCTTCGAGCCAATGGTTAAAGGGCCTATGTCTCTAAAACTTATACGTAAGCGGATGACTGTGCATTTCTGCACCGTGAAAAACTCCTTTTGTCGATCACTCACATTAAAAAGTTAAGTTGAAAGACGCATTACAGAAGATTTCTTGTACCATATTGGAAGCGAGTGTCTCTCAGTCTCTGAAACTAGTCGGTCATAAGATAATATTACACTTTTCTGATGCAACTGACATAGTGCTGGTACGCTTATTGCTCCTAGTTTTTGCATACATGAACCCAACATTCTTATACGTTTTCCAAAAAATGGTTGATATTGCTTGATAAGGCGGTGGTAGTACATACGGAGTAACCAGGGTGCAAAATGTAACAGTCAGTCGTCCCCTTACGTCATATTTGAGGCTGAGAGAAGTAGGTCCTATAACCATTGGCTCAAGGGGACAGTTTAGGGTTGCTTTGTTGGGTTCTATCTTCTGAAATTATAAAAGAGCTTCTTAATTAAGGTAGTTAGGTTCACTGTAAGTGGAGAGGACCTTGAATCATGCTCTTTTAGACGTGTTGTCAATGGCAAGTAGTCTCAAAATTCTGTCTATCTTTGCGTGAGACGATACGCTTTGTGCAAAAGAGAAAGGCTTAGGTGTTTCAGTATTTTGCCATCTCCAATAAGTTTATCAGCATATAAGCAATTCCTGTAATACCATTCGACTTACTAACCAGATCTTTGAAAACTTCAGGAATTAATTTATCTGGATCTGTTTTTGATCTCTTCGGAAAAAACTATCTCGTTGTATAGATTGTCTTCAATGACGAAAAAATATGTTCAAGTTTTACGGCTAGGAGCTGCAATATTGGCTCGCTGAGTAGTTTAGGCAACAATTTTTGATAGTTATTATTTTAAAAAGGAGCAATTTTGTCATCCGAAACAGTAAGTCCTATAGCTCCCTTTGTATTTTTTTCACCAAGCTCACTGTTTATTAGCTTTATTCTCTGCTTGATTTCACTCAGAGCTGAAAATTGGGGATGGGGTTTTGGAAGTAAAACGACATTTGCTCGAATATTTTTTTATTTGTCAATGAGCTCAGGTTTGTGGTTTGTTTGCGTTCGTTTCGTTGCTCCAAAAATCTTTAAAAAATAACCATTTTGTAAAAACCTCTACCTTGTAGAAGATGTCATTTTTTTGTCTTACATACTTTCTGCCAACAGACCACGTGAGTGTTCTGTCACTCTCTTGAATACTCGGACATTTGAAAATGCTGTATTAACATATTTGTTTGGAACTAAACCTTTGCATATTCTTGCTATATTAAAAGATGTTACTATAAGGCATAAAGTACATTGAAACCATTGGACTTTCCTAGAGTTGATAAGAGAAATTTCAACGTAGGAACCTACTAGAACAACCATTGCATCCAATCCATTTTATCATTCCTGGAGGATCTAACCAATCTGTGCTTGTACATTTTTTATTCATTTTTTTTTCATCTGACGCAGCTTAGGGAATTTCATTGGTTTTACGGGACTGTGGACCATAATATCTCCTGACAAACTGTTAGTGGGAATTTCATAGATCAACAAACAAAAGAGAGTTAAATAGATTCAGATTTTAATATCAAACCATAAACATCAAAAACAAGAAATAACCTCACCCGAGCTCAATAGGTTCAGCAGTCCACCACCAGACTCTTTAAGCAAGTTCAAGTTTCCCCCTTTCCACCAGAAAACCACCTGCCCGACCTGTCTCTAAAAACCTTCAAATGGCGCTCGAGAAACAGGCATGAACATTAAACATAACATAGCTATTTAATAAGTTTATCACTTTAATTAGGCTATTTTGTTGTGGTAAACTAAGCATTGAAACTGGTCGGTAATTTTCAATGTCGCTTTTGTCATTTTTTGGGGAGTGGATTGATGGTTGCTCTTCTCAATAATCGGGAAAAATAACTTTAAAAATTTCGCAAAGATAGAGTTTGAGAGATGGAAAGTTATAATTGTTTGGTACATCAAAAGTTAGGGAGTCAAAAAAGCAGTTTTGATCAAAAAACATAAGCCAATCTCAATAACTTGTTCAATGTAATCAGAAGGTCAAAAACGTCAAAGTAACCAGCGTTACAATCAGGAGGCACTTTATCACATATTCCAGTCAAAATCTTTGGATTTTTCTGAATATGGAAGAGTAAAGTAGAATATGGATAGAATAACGAAAATTCTGATTGATGAAAATTGCGCCAACCAGACTGAAAAAATTAACACTTACACAAAATAAACCGAATTGGAATGGAACTCAAAAATATTGACCTGATATGAGGCTACAGGTCTATCAATTACTTATACTAAGCTGAGATTTTAATCCCTCGGCTCTATAAATTGAAATTGTCTTCGTAAGTATAATGAGCTTTTTCAGTGCCGAGTTCACAAACAGCATTCGCAACCTGTTTGCTGAGGGAGATTTCTGTTTCAGAAAATTTTACTGGCCGGGTTTTCTCGGTAAATGTGCTCAAGTTGTTAGCGAGCTTATATAGAAAAAACTCAGTGCAAGGGCCGGTAGCACCCTGAATTTAAAAAGCTACTAGTGAAAAAGTATATCTATCATTAATTAGATCAACAACAACGACAACAAAACTTTTATTTATATCGGATAATGCATCGAATACATATTTACAAATTTAAGTGAACACTCCTCTTAAACTCTCGAAGAGTTGTTTTTCCAATTTAGTCTTCATAACTCCAGCGTTTTTGTGTCGCAGCGTATCCGCGGCATAATCCGTTATGCGTGGTAGGAGATGATATAGCTGATGGATATACCCGGTCTCGGTTAATTTGCGTAGCAAGGCCTGGTCAGATTTGCGGATAATTTTTCGAGAATAGGTTCAATTTCGTCAATTATACCAAAAAATCGTGCTTTGTTCTGAACTCGGTCTACTTGATCTAGTAAATATGAATAGGTACCACCCCAAACAGACGCGCAGTAAGATAGTCGAGATATCACCAAAGAATTATAAAGTAATTTCAGCTCTTCCGCTGTATAGTTCAGACGTTTGAGGCGCAACAAAAGATATAGACATGAGACTGACGCGTTGCAGATAGCAGTAATGTGCTCCTTGAACGACAGACTTTCGTCAAAAATGGCACCGAGTATCTTTCGCGACGTCACACGTTCAACTCCAGCAACAGTTTTAGGTTGTTGACCTTTTTTAAACGATCACAGAACCTCTTTTGTTTTACCGTCATTCAGCGTCAAGTTTTTGGAGTTAAACTGGACTTCGAGTGCATTAATAAGGTCACTGTCATAGTCATGTTCCCCTATGCGACCTGCGACAACTGGGGTAAAATCGTCAGCGATTTTAGTAAATCTAAAACGTCTTTCAGGAATGTCAGTTGTGACTGATATGTCATTTGTACCACTGTTGAAAAGCGGTGGTCCGTTAACTGTCCCTTGCGGAACGCCGTGACTGGTAGTTAGTTCACGAGATAGTTGATCGTTTACAAGAGTCGAATGTACATGACCGGAAAGAAAACTGTTGAACTGTTGTAACAGTTTATAAGAAAGGGGTTGTAATGAGACTTATGAAGTCCATCAAAAATAGCACGATGAGAAATAGAGTCGAACGCTTTGCTTGAATCAAGATTGATGAGTCTAACGTAGTCATTTTCTGAACGGATGTAGTGCACAACGTTTAGTAGCTTGATAAGTGCGCAAGTAGTTGAGGAACCTTTTCGAAGCAAGGCCTGGTCCTTTTAGCCTAATTGTTGTGATAAACATATTAATTAGATTTGTTATGTTTGATTTTGTGCCTGTTTGTGGAGCGCCCTCTGAGGTATTTTAGAGACAGGCACGTCAAGTGGATTTTTTTGGGGAGGTGGGAAACTGGAACTGGCTTGAAGAGTCTAGTGGTGCATCGCTGGACTTACTGATCTCGGATGAGATTGTTCCTTGTTTTTGATTTTTATAATTCGATTTTAAAATTTATATTTATTTAATTGTCTCTTATTTTTTTTTATTTGCTGATTTATAAAATTCCCACTAACCGTTTATCATGGGTTAGTTCAGTCCCCTAAAGTCCAGTAAAAATCCTTTTTTTACCTTTATGCTGCGTCAAGATGAGGAAAAACAACAAAGAGTGTACAAGCAAAGATTGCTTAACACCTTCAGGATTGATAAATTGGATTAGATGTGGTTGTTGTTCTAGTTGGTATCATATCAGTTGTGTAAATATTTCTCTTAGCGACTCTATGAAAACCCAATGGTTTCAGTGTCCTTTATGCGTTGATGTAAAATCTGTTAATAAAGCAACAATAGGTAATGATTTAGTGCTAGACAATTATGTTAATACAGCCATCTCAAATGTCCGAGTACTCTAGAGAGTACCAAAAGACTCGTGTGATCCCTTGGCGGAAACTCTGTTGGAAAAAACAAATGACATCGTCTACGATGTAGAAGATGTTACAAAATGGCTAATTTTTTTAACGTCGTTCTTGTTTTTTTTGGAGCAACCGAAAAGTAGTGGACGCAAACAGACCACAAACATGAGCTCTTTGATAAATTAAAAAAATCGAGCAAATGACGTGTCACTTTCAAAACTCCATCCCCAAGTTTCAAGCCCGCCTCTGAGTGACCTCGAGCAGAGAATAAAGCTAATAAGTATTAAGCTCGGCGAAGGAAATGTAAAGGGAGGAATAAGGCTTGCTGCTTCGCATGACAAAATTGCTCCTTTTTCAACTGATAACTATCAAAAGTTAGTGTCTAAGCACCCTCAGCGAGCCAAATTTGCAGCTCCTAATCCATAAAATCTGGATAGTTTTTTCGTAACCGAGTTCGACCTATACAAAGCAATAATGTCCTTTCCGAACGGATCAGCAGCAGGTCCTGATAAAATAATTCCTCAAATTTTTGAAGATCTTGTTAGTAAGTCGAATGGCAGTGCAGGACTCAATTTTCTGAAATCGCTTACTAAGCTGATAAACCTCATTGGAGATGGCAAAATACCCGAACCCCTAAGACTTTTCTTTTTTGGCGCAAAGCTTATCGCCCTCATAAAGAAAGACGGAGGGTTGAGGCCGATTGCCATAGGCAACACGCTGAGACGTATCGCGTCTAAATGCGCTGGAAGCAAGGCTTTCTCCGAGCGACAAAAATTTTTCGGAAACGTACAGGTAGGATGTGTTTCTAAACGAGGAGCAGAAATAGCTGCGCACTCTTTTGGAAACCTAATTGAACTCGACGACAACCCAAAATGCGCTGATCTTTTAAAACTAGATTTTAAGAATGCCTTTAAATCTCTAAATAGAGAAACAAGGCTGAATCATGTTTATTCAAATCGCCCCGAATTGTATAATTACACCCATTGCGCGTATGGTAAACCTAGTTACCTTTTTAACGGAAGATCTGTCATAATATCAGAAGACGGAACTCAGCAAAGTGATCCTGAAGCCCCTTCCCTTTTTGCGGAAACAATTCATATACTAGTCAAACAGTTGGAGTCGAAATTTAACATCTGGTATTTAGATGATGGAAATCTAGCCAAAGACTATATGGTATTACTACGGGTCCTTAAAAACTTTCTGAAATCTGAACAATTTTACGGCCTGAGCTTGAACACTGAGAAGTACAATTTTTGTTTTTTGGGACCGACTACTAGTACACAGTATAATTCAGTTTTAACACAGTTTCAAAAAATATGCCCCAAATTAAAAAGAAAAAGAAAAGAAGAAACTCCTGATTTTAGGATCTCCAATCGGCGAACTTTGCCGAAAAGAATTGCTCGACAAAAAAATTAAGGAGCTTGAAAAAATCTCGGATGTCATTGACAAACTAGACGCCCATTATGGTTTTTACCTCCTGAAAAATTGCTTTAGCATGCCAAAACTCCTATATTTTTTGCATACGAGCCCTTGTTTCTTGCAAAATGATTTTTTGGAACGCTACGACAAATTACAAAGAAATTCGTTATGCAAGGTCACTAACGTGAAAAGGGCTGATAAGCAGTTTTTACAAGCAGTTCTCCCGGCAGCCAAAGATGCCTTGGGCGTTTCTTCCGCTGGTCTACTCGCTTTACCCGCTTTCTTAGCCTCAGCAGTAGGAGCAAAAGATGTCTTGAGCGAAATCTTTGGTTTGGAGCATGTGGATGGAACCTATGATGATTCGCTTAAACGGTATCTTGAACTTGGAAAAATTGAAATGGCTCCGGAAAATGAATTCCAAAAAATTGGACAGTGCCAATTTTTGACAGCGAAATTGCAGTTTTGATTTTACGACTCGAACAAACGGACGTAAAAAGATTCAACGCATTCCAAGATAGATTTGGCTCCCAGTGGTTGAACGTCATCCCGTGCAATAATTCAAGGTTAAAATTGTCGAACCAACGACTCAGAACTGCGATAGGATTCGATTAGGCTCAAAAATATGCGAACGGCATAAATGCGTGTGCGGAAAAGACGTTACCGAGGATGGTTGGCATGTTCTTTCTTGCCTCAAACGTGCAGGGAGATTCAAGACATTCAAACCTGGAAGCCCTTATAAAACAGAGTTTATCCTCTACTCACATTCCGTCTGTTTTAGAACCACGGCACCTCTACAGGACCGATCAGAAGCGACCAGGTGGTTTGACTCTCGTTCCCTGGCTGTTGGTAAGCAGCTCTTGTGGGATCTAACGGTAGTAGACTCCTTAGCTCCTTGTAGAATCAATGCCTTGTCTGTTTGTAACCCTGGTATGGCTACCGCTGAAGCGGAAGAGCGAAAAATTGACAAGTATAAAGATCTTGTAAAAGATGGATATCTTTTTCAACCACTAATTTTTGAAATTCAGGGCGCGG